AATTAAGTGCTGAAAAATCAATTAAAGTCCAGACATCATTTGAGTTCCAAAGCAATCATCCCTAACACGTGACTTGTTACTTTTGAAAAAGGCTAAAGACCAAACTGTGGTGCTCACATTAGATGAACGTTAAAGTGAAAATCTATAATCAGTCTGGAGTGTTCCTAATTACTCTCCTTTCTGTTTTGTTTGGATTCAGGATAACTGAAATTCTATTTCCAAAAGTATCTCTGTTCACATAAGTGCCACGTCGCTGCCAATGCTCCATAAAGAATCCTACAGGTTCTGCCACACCTGTCATTAAGAGGTACGTATGAAGAGCGTATGTGAAATCGATGATACGCACAACAGTGAGCGTATGACATCACTCTATTTCCAGCGTGTCAGAACGAACCCCGTATAAATAATAATAATAATAATAATAATAATTTATTCGAGCATTAAATGTGGCAGTTACATTTGTTAGCCCTCTATACTACAAATATATAAAATAAATAAATAGTTATACATCACTATGGATTACTACTAATACAGTGTTTAAGATTATTAATTACAGTGTATACGTTGTTTAAAGTACTTATTACAATTGTAAATAGTTCAATACACTGAGGGAACACACATTTTCTTTGATAGGCTTATAGCTATATGTATCTAATGTGTCATACTTATGGTTCATATAATATATAGCAGGATGAGGCTACTTCAGTGTGGCAGATGCTCATTTCTTTTGGAAATTGCCCTCTGAATGTATTTACCAACAGCATACAATTCTTTCTCATTTTCTGGGCTTAGTATGACTTTAACCTTCTCGTCACTGCTTGCTAGGTGATGCATGTCACATTTAGGGAATTGTTTTAACATGCCCTCCCTCTCTTTTACATGGTGTCTACATTCTAGTAGGAAGTGCACTTCGTCCTCGATTGCAGGACAGTGGGGACAGAATCGTTCCTCGCGTGGTGTTTTAGGTCTGGTGTAGCGTCCTCTTTCCATTTCCAGAATATGATCACTGACTCTAATTTTAGCCACTTCCCTTTTTAATGACTGAGGGGCATTAGTTAGCAGGTACTTTTCAATTTTGTAGGACTTTTTTATCAGACTATAAGTTTTTAACTTGGTGCTTTGAGGATCAGTTAACTCTTCCCAGAACATTTTTTCAATTTTAGCATTGATTTTTTCCTCAATATTGCAATGTGTTTGGATTTGCTGAACCCCTGGGACATTTTCACTGTGAAGATTCCAAGTCGTTAACATAGTATTAATCGCTCCTGGCCAACCCTTTTTCCCCTATTGTCAGTTCNGCATGAAAGTTAACATTGCCTTAATATTTTCACAGGGGAAATTTGAATGGATATTTTTCGGTGGTTACAGGAAGCCCACCAGGGTATTCACAAATCCTAATATCATTAAGTGCTGAAAAATCAATTAAAGTCCAGACATCATTTGAGTTCCAAAGCAATCATCCCTAACACGTGACTTGTTACTTTTGAAAAAGGCTAAAGACCAAACTGTGGTGCTCACATAAGATGAACGTTAAAGTGAAAATCTATAATCAGTCTGGAGTGTTCCTAATTACTCTCCTTTCTGTTTTGTTTGGATTCAGGATAACTGAAATTCTATTTCCAAAAGTATCTCTGTTCACATAAGTGCCACGTCGCTGCCAATGCTCCATAAAGAATCCTACAGGTTCTGCCACACCTGTCATTAAGAGGTACGTATGAAGAGCGTATGTGAAATCGATGATACGCACAACAGTGAGCGTATGACATCACTCTTTTTCCAGCGTGTCAGAACGAACCCCGTATAAATAGCGTTTGTATGTCATCATACACATGTAGCGAATATCAACGTATGGATAGCTCATGTGTACCGTATGTGTGTGTATGAGTTACATACAGTGTATGCAGTGTATGCAGNTCAGTTCATATAAATAGCGTTTGTATGTCATCATACACATGTAGCGAATATCAACGTATGGATAGCTCATGTGTACCGTATGTGTGTGTATGAGTTACATACAGTGTATGTGTAGCTTACTTCTGTTTTGTTGATCATTTTGAACTGCAAACTGGATCAGATCCAACTAGCGTTGGGAAATAACTACTTCCATTTCCATTCTCTATCACATTATCTGGAACAGCTGTGATGAAGTGGAGATGAAGCTTTGTGTATATCACAGGTAATAAAAAGCAGGAGATACGGTTTCCATACGCTAATTATGTGTTAGATATACGTTAAATAGGTTCGGTTTACGCATACGTACACCACTGAATTTTTCAGTGATGATTGATAAAGTTCCGGTGCCTCTGGGTGCAATGACCTCGACACTGTCAATAGATATTTCTCTCCATTTGCAAGAGGTAGCTTCAGGGATACAACAGGCTTCATCGTGACAATGCACTTGCTCACAGTTCTCAACCCCCCCAACATACATTTTCTTATCCTGAAAAGCTTCTCATATTTCCTCTGAAATACCTTAAAGATGATAAAATCATTTAAATAAGTCATCTAAGTTATTTATAGGTAAATTATTAAATAATTAAATAATAAATTAAATTAAAAATAGATTAAAACATCTAGTACAAGTGCAGGGACGGGTCGAGCAACGTTTCGTGAGCAGGAAACAAATTGCTTTCTTATTTTGGCGGATGATCCCCTGAAGAGTGGCATTAATATGTTCGGCAGTTGCCGTGAAGTGTCCATACTCGAGATGATAAGCTCGGGTACTTAGCAGTAACACTTGAAGCATTTAATACTTGAAGTGCTTCTTGGAAGAATCCCTAGAGAGATTAACTCGCCAAGGTTAAGCTTGAAAGCGAAATTAAGGGGATGCATACCTGAAGAGCGAATATGGCGCAAGTACTAGAAGAAAACAAAGTATGGCAGATTATTTTTCAAAACGCGGGTTGTTTCAATTTTTTTCTGTATGTATAACCAGAGTCAAGAGCCCAAAGGACTTATAATAGCAGAGAGCCCGCAAAATGCCTTTGAACGAAATATTCAAATGAAGTGGACGTACTGAAGCCTAAATAAACAGAGAGCTTGCTTTGACATTTTATGTGCACGCTTCGCAGATAATACGCAACACAGCTGTTTACTAATATGAAAGTGTTAATCATTAAATGCGAAAGTATTGACTTCATTGGAACAACGTACTTTTGGCTGCAACGTAATTTTGTAGTGAGCATCTTGCGTCACTTTGACTTAAGACGGCGCGCGGTCCGGACGGTAATTTTATAGCTATAAAACAGAAGAGTGGAAGCGCAGTGCTGTAACGGCTTCATCTTTATGATTTTCAGTAAAATATTAATTTTAAATGAGCTGTAAAAAAAGAAAGGTTTCTGATAGTCTGTCATGTGTGGCACGTAAAGTGACAGAGTCAATACACTGTTTAAAATTTGTGAAATAATTTCTACACATTAGAATATATATCCTAAAACCTGAACTGATTTCCAGAAAATAACTGAATGCTTTTAGGGGGAACATCGATGTTCATTTTGCATTAATGGAATCGGAAACTCCTGGGAATACGACCCCTATGGTGGATAATTTGCTTGAAATCCCTTTTGTACCTGCTATATTAAAATGCAGACTTGAACGTTAAAAATGAAAGCACAAGCTGCCGTTACTTCCTCATTTAGTGTGGTTTGGGACATGTTCATTGGTGTAATGCAATTTTACTAATGCAAACGGTGTATGGGACTCGTTGTTGGCGTTTTGTATTGCTTCATGTATAAGATATATCTATTGGTTTTCCTTTTATCAATTCAGAGTGACTTTTGGAAAATAGTATTTTTTGTCTACGAACAATTCTTTACATATGCCGCTTTTTCCAGAAGACTACAGGTGGAAAGGACGGGTACATGGATGACAAAGGCATAACATCATGTATAAATTTTTCACTTTGAATGATTCAGATCTAATTAAGGGAATTACAAATAATTTGTCTAATAGCAAACATTGCATTAACGAAAATGTATAGCGTATGAGAACGAACGCATAAGCAGCGTAGTAATATCGTGTTGATAGTGATTTTTTATGGTCCGTTTAGGTTATGACATTGACCATTATGTGTTCAGTGTGAGCAACACTTTAATATACTAATATACTTCATTTTGTTGTTAAATCATATAGTCTTGTTATGGAATTTAATGAACCAACTTTAGATTTGACCCGGAGCTTTAATAAGTCCCTCACCTTGTTGCCCCTCTTGGTGAAAGTGTTTTGATGATGATAATGTGAAAATGATAGTATATTTATTTATACCGCAGATCACATAACATTGGGATGTTTTCAATCGCTAATCAAGCGTTAGGCATACGTTAACGCGCTACTTATATCGTTACAGATACGTTCAATAAGTAACTCGTTCTTGACCACTTAGTTACTTATTCGTTACGCAAAGCCAAGCTACATCAGACACCATAAAAGAAACGTACTTTATGGTAGTTTTGATGCCATTTTACCGTATGCCTAACGTATCCCAAACGTATGGATAACGAACGCCTCTAACGCTCGTATAAACTAAAAATCTTCCTCTACGTATGCGAACGTACACCAGCGTTTACCTGCATACGCGAGACGTCTACGAACAAAGCCCTTGCGTTTGTCTGCGTATGTGTAAATTTCCTCATACGTTGAAGAAATACGCCAAGGTGTGACAAGGCTTTTATTACCGAAATTCGGCAGCTCGCCACTTAGTACAACAACAAGTTTTCATGGAGCAGTTCAACAACATGACTCACTTCATCATTTGCTTCTCCAATTAATACGTGTTCGTGCCTGAAGGTTTTAGGGCTATGATGCGTCTAGATAGATTATGATCATTTAATTATAACCCATTAATCTGCGTTCTTGGCAGCTGTACACATGTCACTGGTCTAGTTGTAAAGCCGCAACTGCACACATTTAAGTAGAAGCGTTCCATTTGAAATGCCCTTCCTGATGAATACATGTATTTTGTAACGTCCAGCTCCATAAGTCGCAGTTTCGTTGTATTTACTGTACTCTAGTCTACTTGGCAGAAGAGATGGCGAGCATATAAACTACAGGCTAAACTACTCATACTGTATGTACATTGGGTTTTAATGATATATACATATGTATAATTCACTTATCTGTAACTCAGTCATTCATTTATTGATGATTGCAGGTATAATTTCATTTTTCTTTCATTTTCTTTTTTTTTCATTCATTGATTTATTTATTGTCTAAACAGTGACAAGAGTGTATCTTGTTTCTTACAGCAAATGTTCTGGTTGATGACCTGATTCATGGTGGCACATTGTCATCAATAAGAACATTCTACGAGGAAATCATTCCTTTTTTTCAGAAGATAGTGTTCAACTACAGATAAAAGGCTGATTTTAACACGAACATATGCATTTAACGAAAAGCGAAATCAATGGTACGTATCATCTGGATATGCTGCAAGTAATTCAAAGTCACTGCAAGTCAGGATTTCCGGTAAAACTTGTACAAACAATGCCACTTTGAGGCAAAAAGTACCTTATGGAACATGTGAATATGGAAAAGTAATCTGTTAAGGTCGTTGCGGGGTTTTTTTACAGCGAACAAATAATTGACCTAAACATATGTGGACCGGGTATGAGGATAGTTGTAGGCAGGTGCCAGTTTTGCACATGCGCACATGTGGTTTTCAGGCTGAAACGATTTCAAGGAGTTGCAGTAATTCTGTTCATGAGTGAGTGAGTGAGTTATTACATCCAAATGCTCGTGAGTACAGAAACACGGCATACATACACACTGTAGCGTGTGCGTTAACCCAAAGCGGGGATGCTTATAAAATCCTCGGCTTTTGATGTTTGGATGCAAAAAACCACTTCAGCGAGATTAAACCCGGACCAGATCGATTAAGAGCTGTCATCGCTGGCTTCTAAAGTTGATGTAAAGGCCGGTTAGGAAAGAGAACAAGCGAATCATGTACATCAAGGAACGGAAAGTGGCTGAGGGGGATTCTAGAGACCTTGGACGGCGTATTTATTTATTTTCCGCTGCTGTAAAAATGTGCTTGGCTAAAGACAATAGCAAAAAATAGCAGAGAAATCACAGAGGACGTGGTATGTGTTAAGGCATAACTTATGATAGAATATCAATACAACTTTCGAGGGAAGCAAATATGTTGATGTTGAACATCTTAGAAAGCCTGCAGCTAAGTAAGATTTCAAAAGATATGGACTTCTTTCTTAATTCTTCTTGTTTTAGCATATCAGTCGGAGAGTACAGATAACGCCACATCACATCACTGAGATTATGGTCTGTGATAGAAGCTTAGAAGTCACTCAGACACTTGATTAGGTGCAATGTGAAGTAGGCCTATTTTAAGGATTGACCAATAGAGGAAGATATGTTTAGATTTAATTAAGAAGCTTTTGAAAACTTATCAATACACTACGTTAGACATAGGAGCGCAAGCAACCAGGGACACCAAACCAATGGTGCAGTTCCAAGTTTACTGAGGCGGGAGAAAGGTTCCACGAGTCGTGAAAGACAGGATTTTCATGAAGGACATTCTAACTTCTCCCATTTTGCCCGACCGATACGACAATGTTTTAAACAGGCCAAAATTTACGACATAATACATATTGGGTTTACGGGACCGATCCATCTGTTGAAGATAAAAAAATTAGCAAATTTCCATCTGTTATTAAACTGCCTTGATGCGACACCATTGCACAGTAGATGAAAGTAGGCACGCGTCTTTCTAAGTGTGGAGAGGCGTGCGGTAGCCAGCAAGGTGAGCAAGCAGTTTAGATCAGTTTACTGTCGTGGGAACAATCTTTGTAAACTGTAGATGGTAAATCGGTAATTCTGGTTGCTGCGCAGCGTTTTAACCCAGTCCGAATTTCCAAGCAGTCCCCGAGCAGCATTTCCGTGCCTCGTAAAGGTCGTCTCGCCATGCAGAGGATAATGAAGTGCGCGTAGCCGGGTGAACGCGAAGCGCGTAGCTAACCAACCATAGTTAAACACCAACGATCCAATTTAGCTGGAAAAGTCGAAAAAGAAGTAGGAAAAAGAGAGCAACTATCGATAGGCACGTGCAATCAGAATTGCTTTATTGCGCGTCTCTCTGAAGTTTGGTTTCTTTTACGGAGATATAACTGTGCTTCATAAAAGACCAAAGGCTTAACTGTCTTATTAATAAATCATGGTTAAGATCGTTGCATGGTGAATACGTTGGATGAATTAAAGCAATTGGAACCTTCAAAGGATTACACGGCTTGAGAAAAAAATCCAGATAAACAAATAAAGAAAAGCTGGATATATGCTGAAATGAAAATGAAATTTTCAAGGATAACAAACATGGTTTTGCTCTGGCTATGTTGCTTATGGATTTCGTTAAATTCCCGATATAACGTAAACACTGAAGCGGCCACTGCAACGGCAGAAACGCCGTACGTCATCCAAGAAGAACACGCACGGGCTCGTTCCATCAACTCATGCACGGCAACTAAGAACTGGACATGGTTCGACAAAGATTTGGCTGTCAGTATTGACGGCGAGATCACCCTGGGAGGACTGTTCACGGTACACGAGCGGAGTGAGGAGTGTATCTGTGGACGCGTCCTCCCTGATGGCGGCGTGCAAGCCTTGGAGATGATGTTGTATACTTTGAAAATGATTAACATGGACAAAAACTTCATGCCTGGGTTTACAATCGGGGCTCTGATACGTGACGATTGTGGAAATGACACGTTGGGGTTGGAGCAGTCCGTAGAATTCATTAAAGGTAAGTGAAAACAGCCAAGTCCACGTCTTTTCTTGGTAAAGTTTTCTGCAAGGCCAGATATTTTGAACCCCCGTTTTTTACAACATTTTAAATTATCCAAAAGATGCAGATTAGCTAGCAAAAAAAAAAAAAAAAAAAATTATAATAATAATAATAATAATAAAATAATAATAAGACATATATTTGTGCAAGGAATTGCAATATGGAGTTACTGAACTGCCGCATTTGTCTCGTTCAAAACAGTTCTCCTGTGGAATGAATTGCTTGAAACATAAAACATTACTGCAGTGGAATTAAATGAGAAGTTTCTCGCTGGATCTCACCAATGATGTCAATTATCTGAGTGAAAAAGGGAGTAGATGAAAAATAGACGAAAAAATGATTTAAGATGATTAATAGGTCATTCATTTATGAATAAACAAAAAAAATGGTAAATACACGAATAAAGAAATAAATAAAGTAATAAATAAATCAGAGTGAAGGGAAGGACAGACGAAACTTCCAACGCTCAGCCTTTACTTATTGAAAATATGCGTTCTGGTGAACTTGGTATAAAGTAATTGTATCAGTTAGGGTTGTTTCAGCGTGCTGTGGTGTCAGGACGATTCTTCACCAAGATTCTCTTCACATCCATGTAGAAAGCCTGGGATAATACTACAATACTGTGCTCCACATGTTATCCTGGGTGGCTACACATGTGCAGATATAGCTTATTAAAATGCTCGAGACAGATTTTATCGATATTTTCATCTCCAGTGGAAAAAATATTAATAAAGGACTTGAATGCGCATAAATATTTGATTAACATTAACAGTGTGTAGGCTGATTTGTGTACGAAGTGGCCGCGTTAATCAGTTTAAGGACCCTCATTTGCTGATTTGCATAAAGAGGAAATCACTTTCAACCAAACAGATATTCGATACATTTATCATTGTGTTCAAAGCCGATAAAACAAGGCAAAGCGTTCTTACTGAATGCATGGGTTGTGTCCATTGCACATATTTTCCTCTGGTTAAGACTCTGTTAATATTTTAATATTTAGAGGGTCGTTTTTTTAATATTGTAGGTGTCAATCTTGTAAGTGTTTAGCTTTATTGGGAAAATTAAGTTAAATGGACATAACTGCCTAAACAAATCCAATTGTAGTATGTTTCGCGGTTTCTCTAACGCTGCAGCAGTTATCGTTGATGACTTTAACTATCGTGCAAACTACCTCTTCCTCTCTATTCACCTGGACACCTCACTAAACGCGTTAAGAGAAGAGAGACGACGCAGTCTTGGCAATCTATTATCTCGAGCCCCGTTAACCGTGCTGAACTTGCCGTGTCTCGACGCGTGACGATGGTTGTAGGGAGACTATTAAAACTTTAATTCTACGTGTTTGAAAATTTTTATATTCTAATTATCTCTGCTGAAAACCAGTTTAGAGTTTGATTCGGTCGAAGTGATTGTGAAGAGGAGGGGTGCAGGGGTTTTATACAGTGCTTTATCCTAATGGACGGAGGAGGGATAGTGTCTTTCTATTGATGAGTCTTCCACGGAGTAGAAGATACATTACTCCGGCGGATACAGGGTAGCCGAATAGTGTGTGTGTGTGTGTGTGTGTGTGTGATAGAAAAGATGTTTTGGGTGTTCCCTCTTTCTTTCCCCTTCTCCCTAACTTTGTTCCTAGAAAGGCGGGGTCTATCTTTACGATTGTGCATGCAGAGAGGGATCTGCCTGTATACGACTGCCCCGTCCTGCAGCCTTGTTCTGCTTATCGTTGAAGATAGTTAGACTACTTACAGTGTATTTCATGTATTTGTTTGGACAAGAAGAGGCCGGGTCCTGCCTATGTTGCTGCCTGCTGCAGCATTGGTACTTAATAACACAGCACTTAATAATGAACCAGCAGCCTGTATGTCTAACCCCAGGGATCGACAAATTATTTTAGTTTATGAAATTTGCTCATAAATCAAACTGGCGCAGGACAGATACATACACTGGCTGCAGTTTACTTAAGGGACCGCCGTGTAGCAACTAAATACTTCCCCTTCCTGCTGTTTATTAAAGAAACGGTGCAATTTGTAACATTGGGACATATTCCCTCTGCAAACCCTCAGTATGCATTTGCCAGATTATCTCATTACTCACCAAACCACACGTTTAGATCTAAGGACCAGTAGTTATTAAAATCTTAATGTGCAAGGCTTAAAACACATTACTTTGTACAGGTGAGCCTCGACTTAGATTTTGACCCACTTAGGTCAAACTATACCCTATTACTACATGTATATGGAGGGCGGACTTTCTGTCACACGGACCCTCAGTTCCGTGGCACCGGGAGCTATGTCCCCAAATCGGGAGACTCCAGACGAGATCGGGTGACCAAGTGTGGACTGGTCTGGCCTGGTATCATACATGCTCCCATAATGCCACGTAATAACAGCTTCCATAAATCAAGACGTACTTCCCGCTCACGCTTCTCATCCTCCAGAACACTTTAATTTAGTTGGTGAAATCTAATCATAAATCAAACTGGCTCACGACAGACATTAACTGATGAGGCTGACATGCTGTAACCTAAGCACACCCAGGGCACCACCAGGGGCGGAGCCAGGATTATTTGAAGGGGGGGGGGTGGTGGTGGTCCGTGGATGTCCCCCTTGGCGTGGGGTTCAGCGGGCCCAATTTTTTTGGTATTTTAGAGGGCGAACGGTGCCATTTGGTACGGTTTAGAACATGATTCAGCTAGTCAAAATTCTTATTTCAAGAGGGGACCATTGGTGTGATTTTTTTTAGAAATCGAAGGGGGGTCAATACCCCCCCCCCCTAAATCCGCAACTGACCACCACAAATATCGATCAGGACGGCCGTCCATGGAAGAAATTATTTTTTATTTACTTATTTTTTTTTAATTGAGCAATTTGCGCCTTCTTACGCAAACCTCGGCACTTCCATTTCGCCTGGTGTGGCGAGTTCTTGCTAGAATTCAGTGAAAATGTGTTCGTGTGTGCGAAATAGAGTATATATACATGTATAATAGTAACAGCACAATAAAATGATGGTTATGTTGTAGTGTTTTCACATTAAAAAGCGGCGATGAGTAGAAAAAGAATGGTTTTGTTGTTACGTTTTTACAGAAGATCTGCTTCCCTGTGCAGTGAAATGTTTTTATCCAGAAGGGAGGAGGCAAGACAGTAATTAGTATACTAGCAACGTACAGTGTACCAGGCACCGTTTTGCTGATGTGATTAGTCTCTTGATTCTTGTAAATAAGAACAATAAGAGAAGGAAGAAGTATAAATCTAGCACTTAGACATAGTTTGCCGCGCCTCAGGTAAAAAGACTTTCCTGGGGTATCATGGTTTTCTAAAAGTGTTATAGTAATAGAATACACATATTCGAGTGATGTACTTGAATGAAAAATATTTTGTTTTAATTTGCACATCCATAGGTAAAAAATATTACATTAATAAAATATCATGTCTATAGTTCAGTGGCTGAAGAGCTTGCATATATAACAGTATTTCAACTCTCATAAATCCTTATTTCTCCTCACTTCCAAATTATCCGATATTTATGTTGTTTGCCAAAAGGTTAATGAGCAACCACCTGGTCGACAGTATTGAAGATTTAGCGTACTGCAACTAATTTGTGAGAGTTCATCTCGAAAACGGTTTTTTCGCTAGTCGAAAATGTCATAGTGTGGACATGAAAAAAAAAATACATATTTAATATCCGCCAACACACAAGAACAATAGACCTGCGTTTGATGGTTTTGTTTGTATATTGTAATTTACTACATCAGAAACTTACTTGATAACTGACTGTGCCATGGCTTGCGTTCAATACCAGGTACACCTGGGTCACGTGATTAGAAAACAGGCCGACATGCACATGTTTATAATTTTCAATAGGTATTAAAAATTATCATTCCAAAATGAAATGGAATAATCTTTTTGCTATTTATCTGAATGGTTTACCCCGTTTCCTACATACCTGCAACGCATTCTTTCCACTCCGAGCATTTTTTTTTTTGGACAAGCGAAGTTGAAAATCAGCTTAGATTTGAAGTCTGTGAAAGCATTTCTTCGTATCTTCGTAAGTGGACTGTTACTGTCTTCATTGCTCCAGGAATACTAACATCATATGCTAGTCAAATGCGTTTTGTACGTGTTTAATTACTAATTTTAACAATCACAATTGGGAAATAAGAATAAAATTGGATATCAAAAGCTTACTATTATCCAGGTACCATGAACTTCATGGGATCTACATATAGCCCCTAAATATTTATTTATTGAAGTGTAGCCATTCGCACACAAACAAACAAACACATCTACACACACACATACACACACACTTACGCACACACACATGCACACAATGAGACACACACAAACAAACAAACACACAAACAAATAATTAAACACACAGATGTACTCATACACACGCACACACACAAACACACCCCCCAACACACACATACATAAACACACACACACATACGCACACAAACACACATGTACAAACACACCTACACACACACACACACACACACACAATCATACGCACACAAACACATGTACACACACAAACACAAACACACAAACAAACACACAAACAAGCGTGTACACACACAGGTACAAACACACGCATGTCCACACAAACACACACACACACAGACACACACACACACGGTCTTTGTACTGATGTATTTGACATGTTGGCTGCGTATAAGATAAATTGTTTTTTTACGCAGTTTAGTCGCCGGGTATTCCGGTCCTAAGACAGGATAGGAAGATAAAGGAGGAAGCTAGGCCCTGCAAAGTTGTACACTTAAAGAGAAAGAATGCACAGGCACGATAACTGAACCCTTGCAGGAATTTGATCAATAGGACTTAGTTTAGAGTGTCAATCAAGATTTTTTCTAAAGATGAAATCAATTTTATCTTGATAATTTCATGTCGGCTGGAATCCATTGTCCATTGGAGCTGAGTTGAAAAACGAGAAAAGAG